GCTGGGTCATCCCCTTGTCCCCCTGCGCTCAGCCCCGCGGGGTGGCAGGGGGTGACAGGCTGGGTCATCCCCTTGTCCCCCTGTGCTCAGCCCCAGGGGGTGGCAGGCTGGGATCAGGCCCCCTTGTCCCCTTTGTGATCAGTCCTGGAGCTGGAGGGGGTGACAGGCTGGGATCAGGCCCCTTGTCCCCCTGTGCTCAGCCCCACGAGGTGGCAGGGGGTGACACGCTGGGCTCAGGGCTGGCATCAGGCCCCTTGTCCCCTTTGGGGTCAGTTGTGGGGCTGGAGCGGGGGACAGGCGGGGATCAAACCCTATGTCCCCTCTGGGCTCAGCCCTGGGGCAAGGGGGTGAGGGGCTGGGGGCCACTGTCCCCTTCGCATCAGTCCTGGGGCTGGCAGGTGGTGACAGGGGGCATCAGGGCCATTTCCCCCACTGGGGTCACTCATGGGCTGGCAGAGGATGAGGGGTTCAGGGCCACTGTCCCCCTGGGGTCAGTCATAGCCTGGCAGGTGGTGACTGGGCGAGGATCGGGCCCCTGTCTCCTCTGGGGTCAGCCCTAGGGCTGGAGGAAGACGAGGGGCTGGGGGACATTGTCCCCTTGGGGACAGTCATGGGCTGGCAAGTGGTGACGGGTGGGGATCAGGCCCCTTGTCCCCCTCAGGGTCAGCCGTGGGGCTGGCAGGTGACCAAGGGCAGGGGCTCAGGCCGCTGCCCGCACCCCTGGCAGCCTTGGGGACAGCCCTGGCGCTGGTGACAGGCTGACACCCCGGCTTGCGGTGACCCCCAACAAGAGGCCAGTGAGGGCCTCGGGGCTGCGGGTGCCCCCGGGACGCCCCGCTCTGCACCCAGGACGTGTGGCCGCTCAGGGGGCCCCTCGACCCGCCCAGGGCCCTCGAGACACCGCGGTGCAGCCAGCGCCAACGTAGCAGCTTTTAGTTGGGATTCAGTCTCTCCCCGAGCAGAGCGGGGAGCGCCGAGCGCGGGCCGCGTCGTGGGGAGCGCCGAGGCCGGTGTCGCCGGTGTCACGTCGTGGGGAGCGCCGGGGTCACGTCGTGGGGAGCGCCGAGGCCGGGGCCACGTCCTGAGCCCCTGAGCTGGTCCCGTGTCGGGGCCACAGCCCCTTCCCTCGACCTCCAGGAGCGGCTGCCGCGGAGAGAAGCCCCAAGCGGCCCCGCGCGCTGGAGAGCCCGGAGCGACGGAAGGGGCCAAACCAGCAGCAAACGGCGGGGCCTGGGACACGGTCCCCGCAGCGCCGGGCCAGGAGGAGCCGGGGAAAGGGACAGGCAGGGCCCGGGAAGGGCCCCGTGCGGGAGGGACCGCGGGAGCCGCTGGCGTGTCCTGGCGGTGCCGGCAGCGGGAGCAGCGGCGTGCGGCTCACGTGTAGGACAGCAGGTTGACGTCGTAGCAACCGTCCACCTGCAAGAGGGAGCGACGCGGGGTCTGCCCGCCGCGTCCCTGGGCACCGCGGGGACACGCGCGGCCTCGCCACGGCCAACGGGCACCGGCGCCCGGGCCCCCCGGGGCCGCGACTCACGTCGAAGCGGCCGATGCGGGCGGCAGCCTGGCGGGCGCGGATCACCTCCGTGAGCACCCACATCTGCTGCGCCTCCGCCGAGACCTTCTCGGGATCAGGGAGCTCCTGGCGGGAAGCGGGGAGGGGGAGCGGGGTGAGGGCCCTCGGGGCAACGTCGTGGCCCATGGAGCAGGACATCTGTCCCACGGACACCGTCCTCTCCTCGAGCCCCTTCTCCCCAATCCCGAGGGAGACATGGGGTGCTCACAGCCCGGAGCTGGGAGCACCTCGTTCCCGACCTCGCGGTAATTTCCCAACCCGGGGAAAAAAACACCAAAAAACAGGGCTGTGATCTAGGAAAACAGCCGCCTCGGGTGGCCCTGAGCTATGGCCGTCCCCAGCACCGGAACAGCCCGTCCCTGTGGGTTTGGAGCGAGGACAAACAGCCGGATCATTAGCTAATGATTAAAGGAGTTAATCAGGGTGCAGAGTCCGGCAGCCTCCCCTCTTTGCGCTCCGAGGCCTCTGCGAGCGCGGGCGTTTTGGATCGCTGGAGGTGGCACCAAGTGTCCTCTCCAGGCCAGGCGGGACTCACTTCTCCCGGGCTTCGCTCCCTGTTCCTCACACATCCCACTCCCGCTCCCAGCCAGCAGGACACGGTGGGGAATTTCGCGCTGTTCCTTCCTCTCAGCTGCCTCTTGCTGGAGCGGGGCAGATTCCCCCTTAGCCAGAGGGGGCAAAACGGGGAGGGGCAGCAGGGAGCGGTGACGTTGCCCCCATTCCCAAGTGTCCCACCGGCTGCCCGGGCATTGGGGACGTCCCCCGGAGCCGCCAGAACCGCCCCCAACGCTCCAGGGGCGGCCTCCGCAGAGCCGGATTTGGCCTCCCAACCTCTCCCTGCGCCCGGGGCCATCCCCACACCGGGACCCGGAGAGGCCGGGCCCGTTCCCGCCCGCCGCGGCGGCGCCTCCTCACCGCGTGCGGGCCGGGCGGCTGCTGCGGCGGAGCCAGCTGCGAGAGCCAGGAGGGAAAGTCCTTGGGCGGGCTCTGCGGCAGAGCGCGGGCATCACGGAAGGAGCCCCCGGCCCCGCTCCGTGGCCGAGCGCGCAGCGTCGCGGGCTGTGGCACAGCCGGGAAGCAGGCGGGAAGCAGCTGGGAAGCTGGTGGGAAGCTGGCGGGAAGTGGCTGAGAAGCAGTTGGGAAGCAGGTGGCAAGTGGTCGGGAAGTGGGTGGGAAGCAGGTGGGAAGTAGCCAGGAAGCACACAGGAAGTGGCTGGGAAGCAGGCGGGAAGAGGCTGGGAAGCAGGCGGGAAGAGGCTGGGAAGCAGGCGGGAAGAGGCTGGGAAGAGGCTGGGAAGCAGGCGGGAAGCAGGCGGGAAGTAGCCGGGAAGTAGCCGGGAAGCAGGCTGGGAAGCAGATAGGAAGCGGCCGGGAAGTAGCCGGGAAGCAGACAGGAAGTGACTGGGAAGCAGGTGGGAAGTGGCCAGGAAGCAGGTGGGAAGCAGGTGGGAAGCTGGTGGGAAGTGGCTGGAAAGTAGCCAGGAAACAGATGGGAAGCAGCCAGGAAGTGGCCAGGAAGCATGCGAGAAGCAGGCAGGAAGGGGCTGGGAAGCAGACGGGAAGCAGGCGGGAAGTGGCCAGGAAGCAGGCGGGAAGTGGCCAGGAAGCAGGCGGGAAGCGGCCGCGGCGGCACCTTCTGGCTGGGCGGGAAGATCTGCAGCTCCTCGATGGTGAAGTGCAGCCAGACGGGCGAGGGCTGCCGCAGGATGAAGCGCACGGCGGTCACCTGGTCCACGTCGCAGAGCATCTGCGGGGCGACAGCGGCGGCGGCGGTGGGGGGCCCGGGGGGCGCAGGGGGTGCCGGGCCCGCGGGGGCGCCCACCTGGTGCCGCGGCAGCGAGAAGTAGTCCTGGGCGCCCTGCTCGGCGTGCGGGCTGGCCATGAGGCGGCGGCGGCGCACGCAGGTGAGCCAGCGGCGCGGGCCGCGCGCCCGCTGCACCCGCACGCTCACGAACGCCGTGTAGAAGTTGCGGAACACGATCTCCTGCAGCTGCGGCGCGCACCGCCTCGCCACCGGCACCGGCACCGGGACCGGCACCGGGACCAGCGCCCTCCCGCCATCGATCGCGCCGCTGGAGACACCCCCAGTGCCGCCTACCCCAGGGCTGAGCCGGGATGGGCCCCCCCACCCGGTACCGGGCCGGGACCGCCCCCAGCATCACCTCCCATCGCTACCGGGCCGGGACCGCCCCCCTCAGGCCACTACCGGGCCGGTACCGCCTCTAGCGTCTCCCCCGCTAAGGGTACCGGGCCGGTACCGGCTCCCGCATCCCTCCCTCGCATCGCTCCTGGGCCGGGGCCTCCCGCGCAGGTCAGCACCGCGCCGGTACCGGCTCCTTCACCCCGGCTCCCCCATTGGTACCGGGCGCGGTG